AGAAGGAGTGCTGCTTGGTGAAGCGCTGCGCCAGTAGCCCCGCCTTGTCCCAGGGTGCGCCGCGCTTCCTCCGCCTCCCGGCGCCGCCGCTCCGCGCCTCCTTTCCGCTCTGCGATGAAGACCGCCGCTCCACCGGGAAATTGGGCGGCGTCTGATCAGCGCTGCCCGCGTGAGCGTTCTTCGCCGTGCCGGCCATTTCGTCATCTTTGGTCGGCTCCTCCTCGGTAATGGCGGCAAGGTCTTCGGGGACGATGGACTCGGTGGTGCTGAGGACCTCGATGCTGTCCTCGCTGTTGGCCCTCCCGGCGTAGACTCTGAGGCGCCGAGGGTCCGAGGCGGTCACGGGAGGCGAATCGTAGGAGGGGGGAGGCGTGTCGCGGGTGGCGAGCCAAACGCCGGTCGTGGCCGAAGGGACTGAGAGAGCTTGTTCGAGGGGCCCAGGGGGCGGCGCGCCGTTGGCGGCGACACTCGGCGCAGCATCGCACGCCCCGGCGGCTGCCAGCGTCCTGTAGGATCGCTCGGTGCCGATCACTTGGATGCTGTCTCCGCTGCTGATGCTTCCCGTCATCTCGCCGCTCGCCACTTCTTCCGCCTCCGCGCAGGACTCGGAGCTCGGCTGATTTCCCCTTTCCCTCAACATCTCCTCCTCTCCATCGTCCTCCTCTTCCTCTTCCTCATCCTCGGGTTGCTCAAAGAGGAAGTTGGTCAATTTGAGTTTCCTCTTCAGCGAGCGCGTGATGCTCGCACCTCGCAGGGCGGTGACATCGCCGCGGAGGCGGACCTCCGTTTGCGCCAGCTGCTCAGTCATCAGTGACAGGTAATAGCCGTTGCAGAGTTCCTGTATTGGCTTCAGCCGCCGCTCGGAGCCGACGATGCGGCCGGCGGGAGGCGGCGCGGCGGGTGCGTCCGTCCAGGCGTCAGCCGGCTCGTAGGGCAGGAAGTCGGGCCGCTTCAACTTCCTGTTGGGGTAGGAAGCGACCTGGCGGAGGAGCTCTTTGTGCATCTCCATAGCTCGCTCCAGCGCCTCCAGCTTCTCGCGCTTTTCCCCGATGCCGTCGTCCCGCAGCAGGGCCAGGCGTTCGTACCTGAAACGTGACACTTTGTGAATGCTCGGCTGAGGAAAAGCGGAAGTTTGAAGCCACATGCTGAGCGTTGGCCTTTTCTTACTGCAGCTGGTGCAGCTTGCTGTGCAGCTCCAAGGAGAAGGCCTGCCGGTTTCCCGTCTTGAGGCTGTCGGCCGCCCGGCGAAAGCCGGCCGACAGCCGCCCGAAGTTGTCCATGATCTTGGCCTGCTGCGAGCACACGTAGGCCAAGCAGAAAGGACGCACCATTCCGCGGGCCGCCAGGTCCAGAAGCGTCACGTGGCGCACGTACGCAAAGGCCCAGTCGGCCGAGTCCCCCAGGACCACCTCCGAGTCCTCGTTGAAGTTGAGGCGCGGCCCGGACGCGGCTGGCGAAGGTCCTCCCGGGCCCGACGCCTGGTAGTCCACAGACATGATGCGCACAGAGAAGTGGTTCAGGTCCAGGGAGCCACAGGCGCCCGCCTCGTCGGGGATGGTCATCACCGGTGTGGGCCCCACCTGGTGGACGTTGGCCAGTACTGCGTCACCACGCAACAAACGCCTTCATGCAGTTTATTCCGCACGTTGAAAAGAAAATGTCGTTTTACTTGTTCAAATGTTTCAGGAATACATTTGCGTGCACTTGACCATTTCTTAAAATGTTTCAAAACCTTATAGTTGAGTCAATATTTTGCGCCTTCCCCCTGAGTCAACTATATTTGGAATATATACTCAAAAATCAGACGGAAATACAACATAACGATCGATCAATAGCATATGCAAATATTTATTGTACAATATGAAAAGTCATACAAAAGTATATCGGTTGCAATATCTATTGTAGTACAAATACACCTTAAGTTAATTGCTTACTATATATGATGTGCTCAGTTATATTAAAAAATACGTACAAAAAATAGAACTAACATACTACACTAGTCAACATTTTCTTTAATCGAAGATGCAAATAAACTTATTAAAAAGAGTAAAATAATTTGTATGCCAATGTCGACGTTTCCCTGACACACGAGTTGATTTGCACCGCATTACAAATACGCCGTATTTGCAGTTATCAATAAATGGGATCGATTCATCCAGCGGCCAAGTCAGGACGAGGAGTCCTCTTCATCACCGACCTGCTCGGAGAACTCGGCCACCAACACGAAGTCCTTGTGAAAGGCGGCCGCGGAGCTCCACGGGTGGCCGCCGCAGCGGGGGGGCGGCGGCACGGAGAACTCCTCGGGGAAAAGCCCCCCCGCCGGGCCGCGCGCTCCCTCCGCCTCGCCGTCCTCGGGGTCGCCGAAGCCCTCCGGCACGGTGAAAGGCAGCAAGTCCGGAGAGGAGATCATCGGCGGACCGCGGCGAAGCTCGGAGCTTCTCCGGCCATCAGACGGCAACAGCTGACGCCGACAGTCATGTGAGCGCCACAGAAGACGGTCACACGCTTCCCGGGATTGACTTCCTCTTTTCGACGAAGGGAAGAAAAAAAGGTAGAATCCCCTCAAGTGTCAGTCAAAGAGTTACCGCTGCGATTTGGAAACTTTTTGAGTGCTAAAATGTTCGCCGAGGACCAAATTGTTGCCGCGTCAAAATGTGACGTGCTCAGGACCGTCCAACACTTCCGGCGGGCACCTTCAAAATGAAGCGATTGAGCAAGAGCATTGACATCCGCTCACGTTTCACAATCAAATGCGGGGCTGACAAGTATTTTAACTTTTCGGTTCGGGTGTCATGGGAGGGTTGCAAGCCAGAGTGAGGATTTCAGATCAAGGTTTTAAATCAAGGGTTACAGTTTCAAAATGAGTGGTTCATACTAGGCTTAGGTGGATACAACCCTTCAAATTAAGGGTTGTATCCACAACAACCCAACCCCCTTGATTTCCCCCCCCCCCTCCCACCCACAGCAACAAAAGTTTTTCGGGGCATCTTTGTCGCCGATCTGACATGATCGATGGGGCAAATCAACAAAACAACGTTCAAAACGTGAACGGCAACCGACAACAAACGACGTAAAAACACAAACTGCAGCTCAGAAAAACAACCTGCCAATCAAATAAAACATGACTGTTAAAACAAACATGCAGAGTGGGCATCTCTTGTCTTAAGGTAACGCATGTTTTTTGTCAAAACAAAATGACGTTGAAAAACAAGAAATGGCGACGGTGAACCTGACGTCTTCTTTGTACTTGTGTCATGTTTTGAAGTTGTGAGGTTTGAAATGTTTACCGTCTAAAAAAAAGGTTTGAAAATAAGTGTGGTCGTCCACGTTGGCAAAAACAAAACAAAACAAAACAAAAAAACCCAGCAAGAGACACCTGTTACGCCAGGCTTCATGGAAGCCGGCCTCTGGCGTCAACGCTCTTAAGTGTTATTTATAGCAAAATCGCTGACTGACTCACACCAATGGGGGTCGAATACATTTCAAAGTGACCGCATCGATTGGAGCACCAACTCAATTTATTCGCTTTATATTTTCAATCCCAACCCAAACATTTCAAATTTACTACTATTTAGGAGTCACATACGTGCATTTTTTTTTCCAAAACGAATAGCTGTCAGGTCAGCTGGTGAGCACATCCGCCTCAGAGTGAAGAGGGCGTGGGTTCGAACCCGGCCCCGGCCTTCCTGTGTGGAGTTTGTATGATCTCCCCGTGCCTGCGTGGCTATTCTTCGCGTCATCCGGTTTTGCATTGCAGGTTACTTCGACGCTATATTGTACCGAGGTGCGAGGGTGAGCGTAAAAATGGTGGTTTTATGTCTGTGTGCCCTGCGATTAGCAGGCAACCAATTCGGCTTACTGCCCAAAGACGGCTGGGATAGGCTCTAGCATGCCCGCGAACCTCGGAGGGATAAAGCGATTCAAGATAATGGATGGATGGATGAAATAGCTGTCACTCATCTTCGTTGAGCAGGTGACAGGTGGTGACCACAGTGCCTCCCAAAGGAACTCCAGCAAAATTACAACTGAGGTTTGAATTACGGAATTTGAGATTGAAGAGCAGTTCCGAGATGAAAAAAAAAACACCGTTGAGAGTAGTCTGATCTGGAAGCGTATTTCTGCCACACAAGGGAAAAAAAGTTGAGTATCACATGATACATTTCACATTTTTAACACACGTTTCACGTTTCCATGTGACCAAGTGAAAACGTGTTTCCACATCAGACCAAACAAACCAAATTGGGTTTAAGGTTTTTTTTTTTCCAGACAATGTCTTTTTTGGGGTTAAGGGGAAAACTCTTACCTGGCTGTTTTTCTCTTCACTAAAAAGACCATTGTCTGGGAAAAAAAAGAAAGCTAAAACCGAATTTCACCATAAGTAGGCAAGATGAACGTGACGGCGCTCAAACACGACGCATTTTCTTCCGCTCACGTCACTGGCGGAGCCCTACAACGGGAAGCGTGACTTTTAAAAAAAAATCTTGAATCAGTTCACACACTTGCTCTTGATATTTCTTTTAACAGTATTACACAGGACTAGCAAAATGACGTAGCTAATCACTTAGATTGAAAAGATACGAAAGAGACTGCGCGAGTGACGTGGGCCAGACGGAATCTTTCAAGTACGTTTCACGTCACGTGAACAGGTGAAATCGATCACGCCATGGCATGAAATTTACCGCACTTATCCCGTGATAATGCGAAAATTGTTCGACTGTGAAATGGACAGTTTAACGTGTTATTTCACATGTTGAAAAACGGATGATTCATGTCAATCTTACGTAAAATGTGTGGCAAATGTGAAATTAACATGACCTTTACATTTTCTTTTCTGGCGGGGGCAGCCATTGCTAATGTGGCTCCCAATGAAACAATTTTAAAAACGTTTCATTCAAAAATAAAAACAAAAATGCTTTGAAAAATACAAAAACCTAAAGCTAGCTTTTATGTTTTTAAAACTAATTGTAGCAAAAATGTCCACTTTCATCTTTCGTACATGAGCTTTCCGGGGTTCATGTTGAGTGTATTTATTTGGGTTACACTCTACATTCGTACAATAGGTCGGTTAGACGTTTTACAATTTTGGTTGAGCTTGGTCTGTTTGAAAGGCTTTCTGACCTTTTTTTTTTTAAATCTGGCACTCGACAAATACTCCCAATATTCAAAATGTAATAAAATATGTTCGCAAACAAAAACCATATTTAAACTAAGCATTTTAGAAAAACAGAAAGCTGACTGACCTGCGCTAAAAACGAATTAAAACCGAAATTAAACAAACGATACAAAGACTAACAGGATAAAACATTTTTTTTCAAAGGATTCGAAAACAGCGTGGCAGCAACATGCGTCCGGGCTCTCCGACTACGGCCAACTTCAACCCCCAGTTTACCATCTCAGCAAATATTTTTGCGCTGAAAAGGTCAAGTGGCGTCGTGGACTCTGGCAACATCTCCTCTTGTGCCGTTAAATATTAATAGCCCAACTCTATTCTCCTCTTGGCGCTTTAGCGAGCATGACTTGTTTCCAACACCACCCTCCCACCCCTTCCTGCAAAAGTCTTATCTTACGCGTGGCCTGTTTATTTCTGTCGATGTGTAACGAAAGAAGCGGGCGTGAAACGACCACGTGGGAAAGCAGGAAACAAAACGCTGAGGAAGGTTGTGCTTTAATCGAGAAAATAAGCGAATCACACGGCCTCTTCAAGGAAGGAGGCCCGAGTTTTCAATCCTCCTATACTGCTCGAGGCTGAGAAACAAATCTGAAAAGGTGAGAAATGTACGGCGAAAAGAAGACAAAAAGGCTTCAAGACTAAGACAAATGTTATTTGACAGTTGGGCTTTCCTTATGTCCAAGCAGCTTTTGAAGGTATGTACATCTTCAGAACACAAACATGCCCTGTCTGCTCTCCTGCTAAACCGACCAAAGAGTTAAAAAAAAAAAAAAAAAAAAAAAAAGAAAGAAGAAGAAGAAAGCCAGCGGCGGGCCCCTCAGTGGCGGCGCATTTTGACTTTGCGTGACGAGCTCTCTCGGTGTTTGTCGTCGTCCAGGTCGCGCTTCCTGTGCTCGTCCGCCAACGCACTGTGGCGCCGCTGGCCGAACGCCGCCGGCCGCCGGTTCTCCTCCTTGTCCATCTCCAGCACGCGCGGCCTGCACCCAACAAGCGAAGCGCACCGCCCTCACCGCATTTTTACATCCGTTGAAGGAATAATAAAAAAAGGCCACAAGGTGGGGAAAAAAAGATCATGAAATGCACGCATCACAAAAGTGTGTTTCCATCATTTGAAAACTTGAGTGGATTCATCTGCAACTTTGCGTCAATGAAAACTATTTTTAATGAATAGTGCGCAAACGAGCGGATGTCATGATAATGGGGAAAAAAACAAATGTTTGACAACCCGAAATTGTGCTTGACGCTTTTACCAAAAGAAATTGTTGAGGATTCTAAAATGACACTTGGCCTTTGGGTTTTAATTGGAAAAAAAAAAAATGAAGGCTATATTTTTGGGGGGTTTTTTGTCTTGTTTCGCGAGCGAGTTTGCGTTCAGGGAGGACGACAGAGGATTGACTTTTGAGAGGCTGCAATTCAGACCCTTTGCAACACTTTTCATGAGCGGCTAAAAACCGATGAATCGATGATGAAAATCAAGGATTCCTTTGCTCATGGATGAGTTGTCAGTCGATTGTTTTGGCGCGCCATAATGGATCCAAGAAAATGTGCTTTCGCCGGGCGGCGTCGCGACATACCTGTGAGCGGCGTCTGGGTCGGCCTTGCGATGCGAGCGCTTTGCTTTGAGGGGGGGCGCCCGCTCCACCGGGGTCGACCTTAAAGGGCTGTCAGAGTCCAGTCTGGGAGCATCAGGTCTGGTTCTGAACGAAAACGACAACGTGTTAGACTGCACATGGAGGACATCCAACCTGGTGACGGTCGCCATCCAAAGTCGCGGCTCTCTTTAACTTGACACACTTTGCGCAGGAGCTTTTGAGATCCCAAGTAAAAATTCATCAGTAGTACCCTCTTGGAATGGTTTTTTTTTTTTTTTTTGGGGCCATTTAGGTCAAGTAGGGCAAATGCCGAGAAAGAAATTCAACCAAATGAGCCCCAGGAAAGATACTTATTTAAAATTTAAAAAAAGCACAAGATCCTTGAGACAGATTCAATTGTAAATCTTGTTTTGCCGACAGTGTCTAGTACGGGCTGATGCGTGCTTGCCACGAAAAAAGATCCCACCCCCTTTCATGAAAACAACAAGCTTCTTAAATTGGCTTTGGTTTGACTCCCCTTGCCCATTTAGGATGAGCGTGCCGTTTTTCTGGACGACTTGGTAAGTTTTGGTGACTTTTCCTCCCTCGACAAGCCTCCAAGTGGCCGAGCCAACAGTGTCTCATTTGGGATCAGACACAGCACCCCCCCCCCCCGTCCCCCATCAAAATTGGCTGAGTTCAAGCAGGTTGTTCGTAGAGGTAAGATTTGAAACCCGAGCCCTAAAATGTCAATCACTGCTTCGGGTCAGGTGGGGCCGGGCTTCTCTCTCACTGACTTTTTAATAAATATATAACAACGCACTGTGATGTTGATACCCAAACATCACAGTGTGTTGAGGCGTTTCGAGGCCGTGAATAGTTTTGGCCACGAGAGACCGTGGTTGGAAAAAAATAAAAACAGAAGTGGCCTCATCACAACACGTACTGTACTAAACATTTGCATGACAATTCAAAGAACTCCTTCATGTCTCTGTTTATGATCCAGCAGTCATTGTTCTTCTTTGTCTCGCTGCTTCTCTCTTAAAAGTGCCGCGCGGGATTCTTAAGGACGTACTGCTGCTGTGGTGTATGGCCCAATTTTCAACCCATCAAAATGAAGGACAGCCTTCAATTTTTCCCGTCCACTCTGAAAAAAATCCGTCAATGGTGGGAAATTGTCGGTTCATGTACCCTCTGCAGAAACAGAAATATAAACGGCGTAAATGTTTATACAGTCTTGTTGAACTTTGATTTCGTTACAAAAGACAGGCTTTCACTTGTTATCAGAAATCACCCTTCCTACTCCCGGGTCCTCACAAATAAAATATGACATTTCGGGTTTGCTTCGGGCTCGGGCCTGCAAATCAAGTTCATTGGCCGGGTTGGGCTGGATTTTTTGGGCCCGATCTTACCTCTAGTTGTTAGTAAGGGTGAAAAGTGTGCAGTAATTATATGAACCATGAGGGCCCCCACCCCATAAGTAAGACCGATGCTTTTGGACTCACTTCCTCAGGATGATGACCGCTCGCCTCTCCTTGATGTCCTGAGGTCTGATGCAGTGGGTGATGTCGTCAGCAGCATAGCCACTGAAAAACAAAAGGGTTCGGCCACACTTGTTCAATTATTTCTTTATAGGCACAAAAAAGTACATTCACCTAAAACATACAATTCTGATGAGTACAAATCTTAGACTCTTGTCGTATATTTGAAATCAACTTCACGTCATTGCAAAGTGAAGACAGGACTCAATTACAAGGGGGAAAAGAATTGCTGGCCCCAAAAAGTATCTCGATAGTTTTGTAGTCCACATGGGACCAAAAAGTGTTTGATTAGATACGCTAATGTATCAAAAAATTGTTTTGAACAAATGTCAAAGCAATGATGTTGTGAGGAAAAACGATGCGCATTTTTCAAACCCTATTTGTTCAAACCCGCTTGACGTGAAGAAATGACATTTCCATCCGCTCGTTCGAAAACGAGCAAGTTTCAAATCACAACAACAACAACAAAAAGAACTCAAGTCGACGAGCGTCGGTTACCTGAGGACCGTGACGCTGCCGCGGTGGACGGGCAGCACGAAGACGGGTTCGGACACCCGAATGGGCTTGAACTGGAAGCGGCACCCGAAGCAGAGCGCGCTGTCGCTGAAGAAGGACACGGACACGATGGGCCGCGCGAAGATGTGCAGCGGGTCCACGTGCGAGACGATGCAGCCGCCCGGCTGGTAGTCGTTGATGACGGCGCTGTTGACGAAACCCTCCGGGATGACGCCGGCGGACACCAGCCGCTGGATGACGAGCTCGTGCACCCAGCTGGGGATGTCGTCCACCTGGCCCTTGCGGTAGAGCCTCTCCTGGCCCGGGCCGCGCTTTTCCAGCTGCGCGCCGTACGTGTAGCCCTCGCCGAAGAAGTACTTGTTGCGCAGCGGCGCGCGGTCCACCGTGTGCTCGCGATACAGTCCGGCCTCCGCTTTGGCCACCACCTCGTCGATCTTCTCCTCGATGCGCGCGCACTCCTCCGGCGCGAAGATGCTCTTCTGGAGGACGCTGCTGCGCACCCGGTGGGCCTCCTGCTCGCGGAGTTCGCCGCTGTCGTCGCTGTGATCGCACTCATCGTCGTCGGACTCCCGGCGCCGCCGCTTTCGCCCTGCGCCGCCGTTGCTTGTCTGGTAGTCGTCCCGGCCCGGCGGCATCGACCGGAGCTTGTCGCGTAGGTCCGAATAGCCGCTGGTGGCCATGTTCGCTCTGGAAAACAACACCGCTTAGGGGTGGTGGTGGCGGTGGGACGAAAGCGCTGCTAACTTTAACTGGCGGACGTCATGTGTCGGCGGACACGACGTCAAAAGCGGTCCGCGCTGGCGCGGATGTGGCTCGGATATCACTCGTTAGCCGATAGCTCAGTTGGGCTAACGCCAGCTAGTCCGCTAGATTCCTCCGCCGTCGACCAGTACGCCGCTTCGGGTGACGTCGAAAATCAGTGTTCGCGTGGATGGGGCTCGGCTGGCGCGTTAAGATAACATTAGCCAGTCCGCTAGCTTGCTCCACCGGGTGACGACAAAATCAACCAGAGTTCGTGCGGATGCGACTCGGCTCGCTCGCTAGCTGGTAGCTCCTGGGCTAACGCGAGCTGTTCCACTAAATCCCTCCGCCGGTGCTCTGAGCACTGCGCTGGGTGACGTCAAAATCAATCTGCAGTCCTCAGTTAGGCTATCATTAGCCTGTCTGCTCTAGCTTTTACCGCCGAGTGGACTTTGAAATCAATCCGCACTGCTGCGGATGTGGCTCGGCTCCCACACTCGCGGTTAGCTCACAAGGCTAAAGGCGCTAGTCCGCTCGAATCCACCGCAGGTGCCACGACCGCTGGTCACAGTGAGGCCAAAAACAGACCGCGGTAGTGCGAGTTAGGTTTACTCGCCAGCTTGCTCTGAGCTCGGTACAGGCCAATCTCAGATCGTGTGCGCTTGTGCGGATGTGGCTCAGCTAGATGATAGCTCGATAGGCCGGCATTAGCTTCGTCCTCTGGATTCCTCCGCCGGTGACCCGACCACTGGGCCGGGTGACGTCAACCACTAATCCGCGTTGGCGTGGATGTGGCTCGGTCCTCTCGCTCGCTGGTTGCTTGTTTAGGAACGCCTTCGCAAATTTAAAATCCAGTCGTCCCGCCGCTGATTTGACACGAGGATTAAAATAAACGTTTGAGGCTGTCAAATGTTATTCCGAGAGTGAGGCAGTCAAAAAAAAAAAACTGATAAAAAGCGAAGTTACGACGTCGTCACGACAACGTAGTTTAGTTTAGCCTGGTTTGGACGCTCTGTCACCGCCGCCTGGTAATGCCATTAAAAAACACGCAGCAACATTTCACAAGTCTCCACTATATCTTCCAAATAAGGGCCTTTTCCACCCGGATGGACTTTGTGGAATCTGTGGGGAAACCTCGTCATTCCTCGTAATACAAACAGCCTCCGCGAGAACCCAAGCTCGTCTTTTGAGACGAAATAAACTCGCAGAAACCTCCCAGGTCTTCACGCATGCGCAGTAGGGAACTGCCATCTTGGGGCAGGACAGTTTTGCGTCACACGAAGATGCCATGGCCATTTTGGGACTCCTCAAAGTCTTTCCTGACTCACCAAACTAATTAAGTCCCAAAATAAAATGTAAAAATAAACTTAACTGTGCACGTTTTCCGTTGCTGTTGTGTACATGTTAATTACAAAGGTAAACCCTCATGCTTAATTACAAAGGTAAACCTTCATGCTTAATTTTCATTGAGGTCCAAATTACTCCGACTTGGCATCGATGCGCCACAAACTGACATGACATTTTGAGGATTTTGATTTTATTGTCATATTGTCTTTTTTTTTTTTTTTTAACATCGTAACAACCGATACCTCACATTTTATCTTTACCAGTCGACAGAATTTAAAGAAATACCCTTTGTGCAGGGTCCAAGGGCAAAGAATGACTCCGTTCTTTCATCCGGCCCACCAAGCATTTACATTCTTGTCACATTGGTTAAATCAATCTTGCCATTTTTTGCCGTTAAATAGGTTTACATAAATGCACTTAACCCTTTTTATTCATTTGTTGTGGATTTTATTAAATTATCGATTTAATGTAGTCAACAAATAAAGACACTAGTGAAATATATTTTACACATCCGTACTTGTATTCAAAAATCGGTCAATTGTAATACAGTGTGTTACTCAGTGCGAGGTAAAATGTATATTACAAATACGTTTTTCCATTTAATTAAATCATTGCTTGACGACAGACTAATAAAGTTTAAATGTATTTCTTCAACAACTGGTTAATTACAAAGCGTTTTACCGAACTTTAACGCAATTTATTCTAAGTAAAATGACACATTTGAATTAATGAGCATTTGCTAAATAAAACAAACATTGTCACTTTTTACCTTAAAGATGCATTAAAAACGTTTAAATTGATGTATCCAATTGAAATATTGGTTGAATAGTTTCGGGGCTGGCTACCTCGCCTATAACACGGTGATCTCGCTGGGGGGCAGCGCCAGCCGCTTCTCACGCACAGACATCATGTTCTCCACCTGCATGGCGACCACCCGACACAGCTCCAGGCCCTGCGTGGGACAAAAGCCATTCGACAAAGGCCGCGGCACGCCCCCGCCCCCTTCTGGTTCATACCTGCTCGAGCTGCAGCTGCATGAGCCGCTGCGCGTGCGCGTCGCCCAGGGCCAAGTCCACGTACGGGTAGCTGGAGCCGGCAGATGGCCTCTGGGTGCGGCTGGACTGCACCTCTGTCAGGGGGACCGCCGCCATCACCTCCTGCGACCGGACAAGAGCCACAATGTTGGCCAAGTCGTACTCGGCTTGATTTTTGTTTGGAAATTCAGCCCGTGCAGCCAGTTTCTCTGAGCCGCATTTGGCGGGGCACATCGATCATGAGGAGAATCACAAAAAGTCTCAAGAAGCCATGTTGGAGAAGAAGTCATTCATTTTGGTTTGAAGCCGCCATTTTAGGCTCACTTGTCGGCAAAACTTTTTTTTTTTTTTCTCATCAAGATTCTGCCCCTGAGCCAGTTTCACTTGGTAACATGAAATTTGGTAGACATGTTCATTGTGAATGGGCCAACCCAAAAAGTCTCAAGAAGCCATGTTGGAGAAGAAGTCATTCATTTTGGTTTGAAGCCGCCATTTTAGGCTCACTTGTCGGCAAAACTTTTTTTTTTTCTCATCAAGATTCTGCCCCTGAGCCAGTTTCACTTGGTAACATGAAATTTGGTAGACATGTTCATTGTGAATGGGCCAACCCAAAAAGTCTCAAGAAGCCATGTTGGAGAAGAAGTCATTCATTTTGGTTTGAAGCCGCCATTTTAGGCTCACTTGTCGGCAAAACTTTTTTTTTTTCTCATCAAGATTCTGCCCCTGAGCCAGTTTCACTTGGTAACATGAAATTTGGTAGACATGTTCATTGTGAATGGGCCAACCCAAAAAGTCTCAAGAAGCCATGTTGGAGAAGAAGTCATTCATTTTGGTTTGAAGCCGCCATTTTAGGCTCACTTGTCGGCAAAACTTTTTTTTTTTCTCATCAAGATTCTGCCCCTGAGCCAGTTTCACTTGGTAACATGAAATTTGGTAGACATGTTCATTGTGAATGGGCCAACCCAAAAAGTCTCAAGAAGCCATGTTGGAGAAGAAGTCATTCATTTTGGTTTGAAGCCGCCATTTTAGGCTCACTTGTCGGCAAAACTTTTTTTTTTTCTCATCAAGATTCTGCCCCTGAGCCAGTTTCACTTGGTAACATGAAATTTGGTAGACATGTTCATTGTGAATGGGCCAACCCAAAAAGTCTCAAGAAGCCATGTTGGAGAAGAAGTCATTCATTTTGGTTTGAAGCCGCCATTTTAGGCTCACTTGTCGGCAAAACTTTTTTTTTTTCTCATCAAGATTCTGCCCCTGAGCCAGTTTCACTTGGTAACATGAAATTTGGTAGACATGTTCATTGTGAATGGGCCAACCCAAAAAGTCTCAAGAAGCCATGTTGGAGAAGAAGTCATTCATTTTGGTTTGAAGCCGCCATTTTAGGCTCACTTGTCGGCAAAACTTTTTTTTTTTCTCATCAAGATTCTGCCCCTGAGCCAGTTTCACTTGGTAACATGAAATTTGGTAGACATGTTCATTGTGAATGGGCCAACCCAAAAAGTCTCAAGAAGCCATGTCCGAAAAGTCACAGGGACTCAGCCATTTTGGTTTGATGCAGCCATTTCACATTCATTTTGCCCATTTCGGTCTCACATGAGACCCTGCTGCGAGCGACTGAAGATGCCGGTGAGTTTGGGTGTGTTCTCACGTGGGTGTTTTTGTGCAGGAAGTGAAGACCGTTTTGATTGACAGCAACGATGCAGGGGGCGTAGAAGGAGGTCGAGCTGCTGCCGTGGATGTAGAAGAAGGACGAGCCAAACATGGGGAAGGCACTCACCAGTCCTTCACACACACACACACACACACACACACACACACACACACACACACGCACAAGATTAACATTTCCATTTGTTCTCATCCCATGTGCATAATAAGGGGTGATCCAACATCATCATCAAGATTAATTTTGTTGCTGGGGCAGCCGCAATTTTCAAGCAACCTTTATTAAAGTGTTCAAAACAGCAAGAACCAAAGTGCGACGTTATTTCCCCGGAGCGTCAAGTCAAATATTCCAATCGAATTGTCATTGGAGAAGGCCGGAGTCCAACCGGTAGACAATCGAGTTTCTTCTCGCCGCTGGAGCGGTCACGACTTTAGGCCCTATTTTCGCAAACGGTGGTAAATCCTGGGCGGCATGGAGGTGGGTTACTTGTTGTGGGTCATGTCGCAAATAAGTGCAGTTGCGGGAGGGAGGGTTGCCACGCTGTGGGAGTGGTCACAAACGATTTCAATCACGTTCAATTGAAGTCATTGCTTTCGTTCCCTTAAAAGGTGGAGGGCGGGGCTTGATGTGGCGCAAGCACATTGGTCTGAAGTGGACGCTGAGAGACCGCCCTCCAACCCGATCGGTCGTGCGTTCATCCCCAGTGGGATGATTTAAACCAGGGGTGTCAAACTCATTTTTGTCGCGGGCCAAATTATAGTTACCGGTTCCCTTGGAGGGCCGTTATGACTGTGAAACCAAATAAGGAAGTCACGAAGAATGCTTTATTCAACTATAGTTTAAGTTCCTGCAATGAGGGTTTTGGTCACAAGAAAACTTACAATAGCTCTCTTATATATTATGTATGAAAATTTGAAATTTGGGTCAAAATCTTAGCAAGCATCACAGAAGTCAGCATGTTTGATTTGCTTTCGCGGGCCACATCAAATGATGTGGCGGGCCAGATCTGGCCCCCAGGTCTTGAGTTTGACACCTGAAATTTAAACAATACGTCAGAGGGTTTGATGTATTTAGGAATGAAATATGGCACCTTAGAAATACGGTTAAAACAATTTAGGATTTAGGATCAATCAACACACCCGGTCAAGTCGCCACATCCTCAAATTTGTTTTCGTGCTCGATCGACGATCAACCGCGGTTTTCTTTTGATCGCTCGATGCCAAAGTAAGAAGCCTCGCGATGGCGGCGCCATCGCGAGCGGATTTTGACAGAAGACCGACGTCACATCTCACCCATGAATTGCGCTCGGGCCTGGTGCGGGCTGAGCGCCCGGACCTGCTGCGTGTGCTGCGTCGCCATGGCAACCCACCGCTGCGGCGCCTGCTTTTCAAAGAGCAGCGCCGGGACGTACTCCGACAGCTCGTGTCTGCGGGACGCACGCAAACATCTTCTCGCTCACGCGGCTCATTTCAAGTCCATTTTTTCGGGGAGCGTCTCGGCCGCTTCAACCGGACCGGCAAGAGAGCGACGGATCAGAAATGGTGACGACTCACATGCTGGGGATGAAGGCCGCGTCTTTGGCTCTGTGCTGCAAGGCGGCAAGCTTGGACATCTGATGGAAGTGCTGCTCGCTCACCTTTCCTGGCGGGAGGACATTCAGGAGACCTTTGCGGTAGTCCGGAAGGATCTAGCAACAGCAGCGGGGAACACGGTTCAATTTTTTTTTTTCACAGGATTTTACAGAAACAATCGCTTCCAAATTCGTGTCGGAATTGAAAGTGCCTCTGCTCAACCAGCCCCGAATCAAGTTCAGCTGTTCCAAGAGGCTGCATGTGCCCTTTGCGGATGGGCCCTACCTGATTATAGTGCATGGTCACGTAGAGCTCATTGTCAAATTTGAGAGGCTGAGTCCAGACGACACGCCGGAACCAGAAGCTGTAGTTGGTGTCGGCCAACTCGGCTCGGGTGGCCACGTCCAGGATGTACTCGTGTTTGTTGAGAGGACGCACGTTCTGACCTGAGCGAGCACGTCTTGACTTATTATGACACACACTAAGTGTTCACAGACCTAAATAAATCTAAAAAAAATAAATAAATAACAGAACCGACGCACCACGACGGCTACTCTTCAAAGGCGCCAAATTTTCTGTCCATGAATTTTGGAGTCTGTTCAAACCAGGTTCTACCGTAGACCTTTCCGAAGTGAACCTGAAAGTCAGGGGTGGCCAACCCGCGGCTCGCAAGCCGCATGCGGCTCTTTGGCCGGTTGAATGCGGCTCCCGGGCTTTCACATGACAATTGTCGAAAACGCCTCGGCGACGGCGCTGCCATTCAAACAACATGCTTAATACATAGAATGTACTACGTCAGCCCATCACCAATCCCGTTACTTGATTGACATAGAGGGCAAAAAATCAGATGACTGAATCACCGTTCATGCGCAGACAACGGCGCTAAGTGCTAAGCTAATCATCTGTTTTTAAGGCAGGGTTGCCCAATTCGTCAATCGCAATCGACCAAGAGCCAGCAGACTGGTCCCAAGTCGACCGTGAGCGGTGGGAGGAGGAAATGGGGGTAGGGGGATTTGTGTGTTTGTGTCTTTAGGTTTCACTTATGTTCAAGCGCTCAGGCTGTTGCTCGTTGTGGCGTGCATGCATAAGTGCGCGGGTGCAGGGTCGCGTGTGTGCGTGTGTGTGTGTGTGTGTGTGTGTGTGTGTGTGTGTGTGTGTGTGTGTGTGTGTGTGTGTGTGTGTGTGTGTGTGTGTGTGGCTCTTTGCAGTAACCCAGTAAAAAAATTGACTCGTAGTCTCCCACTGGTTGGCCACCTCTGCTGTCAGGGTTTTTTTTTCTTTAGGAGGCGGGTGGCACCCGTCCTTTCTTTCAACGCACCTCCGTCGGTGACCAAGAAGATGGCGTACTCCTCGATGGCCTCCAACCTGTGCAGGCCCATCTCACAGCACAGCTCCTCCATGGCCTCCAGGGAAACGGAACAGGTTTTGATCTTCACGTAGTGCTCCAGGCCGCCCGGGAAGAGGAACAGCTGACGTTTGGAGCTTCTGCCCGCCTGAGGACATCCAAAAAACACACGAGGACGGCGTCAGGGCGCGAGCCGACGACGAGCGCGGACGCGCCAAAGACATTTTACCATCACGGCCTGCAGCTCCATGTTGTTGGGGGCGACGCTGCGCCCGCCGTATCGGAAAGTTTTCTTCAGGTTCTGTTGGCACGCGTTGGCGATCCCTGAAATGCATCAAAACGGAGGCGGACAAAAGTATGAGGACGCCGCCAGCTCATCGGTCCGTTCATCATTGTCGTGACGGGCCTTCGTCCGCTTGGTGCTGGGAAAAGCGCAGTCACTGCGGAGTCGAAGTCAGCCACCATATTTGCAAAGAACGCCGATGTGGAGAACGTGCGTGCTGTGCGCTATACCCTGATACGGCGCCCCGGCGCCGAGGGAGGCCTGCGTCAGGTACTTGAGCAGGAAGGGCTTGAGGACCTCAGAGCAGCCACTGAACGCCGTCAGGACGTACAGCAGCCTCCACCCTCGCTGGCAGCTCTCGCTACAAATGCACGCACATACATGCATGCACACGGGGCTTTTTGAAACGTAAACGCACTCCACGGGTGACCTTCATTTGACCTTTTGTCCTCATGTACAAACTATTTTTTGCACAACTTGCTGTTCTCCACCTACAACACAGACAGTCGCCAGTACGTGTGAAAGGAGCAGTTGTCGAAAGGTTTGCAAGGACCGTAACATCGATGCTAATTTCAGTGAGAGCGATTTGCATGACGTTCACTTTCATTTCATTTCACGGCGGCCACTTTTGACCATTTGAACGGAAAACGGAAAATGGAGTTCTATAGTGATGGAAAGCGACCAAAGGAAGGCTTGAACCCAGGGAAAAAAAATTCTTGAGCAAACAGCAGTTGAGCGTGTCACGGTGGATCTGTTTGTGACCAACAGGTGGCATTATAGGGCTCCTCCTGCAGCGGCGCACCTGCCGGTCATCACGTCATTGGGAGATTCTGCTTTCAGGCCTCGCCGCCCAACCGCTCCGGGCGGGCTCGTTGTTTCTGTTTCTGTTTGCGTTTTGCTTCCGCCGTGGGTTTTTGTTTGTGACTTTGGCTTCTTGTTGTTTTCAGGACTTTTGTTTTTTTATGTATTTAGCTTTCCCACTGTGTTCTTCATACATTTTGTGAAGTTCCCCCTGCTCTTTGGGGGTCCTCCACCACCACGATCATGACAGAACATTGGTAACTTTCTTGAAAATACATTTGAAGAAAAATAACTTTTTGTGCATTTATGATACCTCAAATATCTCAACTAAATGCTTTCCTACTCAGTAACAACACAAAAAGGTCACTTTGATTGCACAATAACCGTTTAAGATTAACACTGCGCTGATGCATGAACTTTGCATCGACTGAGCCTGAACGTTAAACTTTGTGTGTGTGTGTGTGTGTGTGTGTATGTGTCATGTGCATGCGTCACATACGGCGAAACTCACGGTTTGGAGCTGGTGTTGGCTGTGATCTGTTTGACCACTTGACAGTAGGCCTCATCCCTCATCAAGGTGAACTCTCCGATCAGCCACACACACACACACACACACACACACACACACACACACACACACACACACACACACACACACACACACACAATCCGGTGCAGCTCTTATCCTGGAACTCCTCAGACTTTTGCACGTGTACCTAATGAAGTGTCCAGTGAGCATGTACGCACCTTGAGCAGAGCACTGACCGCTTCCTGCTCCGTCTGTCCCTTTAACGGCAAGTCCCCCATGAAGCGCATCACCGCTACACAAATGACACACACACACACAACAAAGTCACTTGCCACACAAAATGTTCAGCCAAAAAAAAAAGTATGAACCGATTCCACATTTAGCCTGATTCCTTTTCCCCTAAAGATATCAATGAGGCTGTGATGTAAAAACATGCAAAAAGCGAGACGTTGAAAATCCTTCCCGGATAGGTTTTGGGGTGAGATGTAATTGGAGTGGCGGGCGTACAAAGGAAAATGTCCGCCGCCACTCGGTTCATGGCTGGATCCGTGAACTCGATGAGGGACTCGCTCAGGGGAATCTGGCAACGAGACAACACGCGAGAGGTGTCGTTTCATGTTCATTTCGACCTGTAGAATGTTTGTCACATTCGAAAAAAAAAAAAAAAAAAAAGTACAGCAAACAAAGATGTTATCAACGAGGTAGTTGGGGCACCTTGGAGAACTTGATCATTTCCTCGGGCTCTCTGGAGACTCGGCTCTTGCTCTTATTCTTCAGGGACTCGCTGAATGCGGCATGAAAGCATTTATGATGATGATGTCAATATATATATATAGAAAGTAAAAGTAAGTGTTTGTGTGTGTGTGTGTGTGTGTGTGTGTGTGTTGTTGTTGTTCAGTGTGCGCCTCACCCCCTCCCGGGGGTGGCCTGTCTGAAGTACTTCCTGGCAAATTCCAGCATGTCGTATTGACTGTCCTGCAAGGTCCTCTCGTCCGCGTCGCCATCAAAGTCCTCCAGAGAAAACCTCTGATGAGAGCAAAGATGGCCGACATAGAATCACAACTCGACTCCACTTGAGTTCTACAGCGCTTTCAAACAACCACCGCTGTATGCAAAGGGCAAAAATAAGTCGTACAACAATAAAACAAAAAATAAATATCGAAGACAATAGAAAGCACCAAAACAGTGCAACCAAAAATCAAGTGCTGAGTCCAAAGCCAAAGGCTAAAAACGAGTTTTCAAGATGGGCAGCGAGGGGGCTTGCCCAACGTGGATTCCAAAGAGAGGGAGCGGCAATGGAAAAGGCTCGTTCCCCCTCAGAGCCTCCGCTTAGTTCTCGGGACGTCTAATAGCGTCTGGTTCGCAGAGCGGAGGCACCGTACAGGTGCGGAGGACCTCCGAGAGGTCAGGTGGGGCGGGGCCGTTTCAAGACTTGAAAACAAATCAGAGGATCTCGGGAAAAGAACTCGAAAATGAGCCAGTGAAGGGATGCCAGAGTAGGAGCTATGTGCTTCCTCTTACGAGTAGCAGTCAAGAGGCGAGTGGCGGCGTTTTGGACCAACTGGAGACGTTTGATGGAGGATTGGCGGACTTCTAAGTCAAGTGCGTGACAGTCATCAACCATACATAATTAGTATCAATCGTCCATCCTTAAAGTGCCAAGCTACAAAGTGAAATGTCTCTCATTCAGGAATTGGAAAAGAGATGGGCACAAAGAATAAAAAAAAAAAAAAAACAATCTGAATCTCATCAATATGTAGGTGGGCGTGGGCTTCGGCGCCCAAGTGGGCACGTGTTGATGGAGTCCGTCTTTCATTTCGGAGTGTGAGGATGAGGAGCGTACCTCGACGGTCTGGTCTATCTCGTGCGCGGCCGCGGCGGACGCCACGGCAACGGCTACGGCCGACGAGGCGGCGAACTGGCCGGCGCCGCCTCGGGGTTCCGCCTTGCGCTCCGACGGCAGGGACAGGAAATCAGGAGGCGCGACCGGGTGGACGCACTCGGACGGGAAGGCCCCCGAGCGCCCAAACACGGCGCCGAACTTCCAACCTATCATGTGCGAAGTCGGAGGAAGGAAACGTGGATGGAAGAATGGATGGATGTCAGTGCCGGCAAAAACACAATCAGTTGAAGAGTGGATCTTCACCGCTCACCAAAGTCTTGCGTGTCCTTCTTGAGCTCCTCCAAGAAGACCACCTTCTTCCTGACCACGCAGCCATAACTGTAACCTGTCACATGTGCCCACGCATGTCAAATCATGAGCCCCCCCCCACACACACACACACACACACACACACTGGCTCATCGTCAAGCCCTTCCGAGCGTCACCTTTGTCCAGGCCGTCCAGCGGCTGCAGCCGGATGACATCGCCCTTGTGGAAGTTGAGCATGTGGTGCGGCGCGGCCACGAAGTTCCGCTCGGCCACGACGTATTCCGAATCCTTCTTCATCTCCGCGATAAAGGCGTCCACCAGCCGCTTGACCTGAGGCGCCTTGGGCGAGAACAAGATCAGCTTCTCCTTGCTCAGGTTGAACTCCAGCATGTTCTCCGAGGGGATGGTCACAAACAGGATGTCTGCGTAGCTGAGAGAATCGCGGCGCGGTGTGAGAAGTGGGATCCCGAGAGCAATGTAGCCACCAATCCGAGAGACTGCGCGTCCTTTCAACCTTATGAGAGGTGTCGTAAATGCATCGATTTTTTTTTTTTCGCGAAAACATTTCGGGGATCAAACTTTGATGTCAGAAGTGGGGCTCCACCAGTCATTCGTCCTCGCCGAGGGACAGAGGCTGAGCGTCTCGCTACCCCAATCGGTCTACCGGTGAGGTGATAGCTGGCCCGTGAAATTGCTCGTTTTTTCGGTTTGAAAATTGGGAGCTCAATTTTTTAGTGTCAGAAGTGGAGCAAAGGCTCGTTTAAAAAAAAAATGCAACATGAAAGGTATCGGTGTGGGTAATGCTATTTCAAATAAAAGAAAAAAGTTTGTTTTGCCAAACAAAAATGACACCGAGACAGTTGTGGCTTGGTGTCAGAAGTGGGGGGCCATACGTGTACGCGTTGAGGACTCTGAAGTAGTCTGGCTCTGCGGCGCTGCTCTTCACCGTCTTGAGCAGCTTGATGCCGCCTTGCCACACCGACAGCACCTGCACGCCGGTTCCCACGCTGCCCTGTGCGCACACACACACACACACACACACAAAGCAAATTGGAACGCGCGGCTCATTGGGTGGGAGTCCGATCCGTGAGTTTCTATTCGGCGCTCGAATGGGAGTGATTTCCAAGTGACATCGAAGAGCGATGTCATTTTTTTCTTTCTTTTTCCCACCGGTACATCTTTTTCCTGCTTTCCGGGGCGTCCTTACCGATGCCGGGAAGAGTCGGGAGAAGTAGATTTCCCAGGTGTCCTTGGCGGCCGTAACAACGCTTTTCTTCACTCGCTCCTCCACCGGATCGTTGCGGCGTTGCAACCCGTGTTCATCTGTGAGTCACACGCGCACACACGCACTGACGAGTGTGACCAGTGTGTCATTTGGCCGAGCGTGTGGAAAAGGTGCGCGGGGAAGAAGGCGCCGGGGACTACCAAAGAGAGCTTTCATCCGCTGCCTTTCATCGCGGCGGATGCGGACGCACGCCTCTGACAGGGTGTCGTTGACGATCTGCGGAGGAGCGCACAAATTAAGCGCGCCGCCTTTCATCTGCCGCCGTGACGACGAGCTAAGTCGGGGGGGAGAAAAACGGAACCGAAAGGAGCGCACGTCACCAGATTTCACGGAGCGTTTCATTTTCGATGTGACCAAGTGCCTTTGAGTTTTCAAGGTGCGTCTGAGCTTTTTAGTCTGGTGCCTGTTGGGTGTCTTTGAATGTCACATTTTGCATCACCTGCTTGAAAATGAGGTCCAAGACCAGCGGATTGTTGACGCTGTCTTTGGGATAGAAGATCTGGAAAACAGACAATCACTCAGCATCACGCGCCGTCACGTCACGTCGTCACAGCGATTGCGTCAAAGACGATCCAAACGAACGAAGGCTTAACGGCCCCCGTGTGTGTGCGTACGCACCTCTTTCCTGAGGTAGAGTTTCCAGGGAACGTTGGTGTAGGTGTAGTGCTCCCGGTTGGCGCTCCGGTGCAGTCTGGTTTGAATGTTCTCCGATTCCACCGGAAGCTCTCGGGACACTGCCAGAGGTCCAAATTTACGTGAGTCGTGCGACGCCGGACCGGAAGCGGGACGTGTGGTCGGGGCCGTCAGCACCTGCCGCAGGAACCGGCGCCGGATGATGAGGCGCTCTGCTCCCTGTGCTCTTCGTGGGCTGGAAGTTGGTCTCCGGATTGGCAGACGCGTAGGGGGGGTGGACCGCGGCACGCTTGAGCTAAACGTCCGGCGACAACAACATTTGATGCTGGAGTCCCTCCGTCTTGTAGAGTTTCTGTGCGTGCTCACTCATCATCTCAGCATCTTTGTGCCGTTCGTTCTTATTGCAACCGTCATTCGGCGTTACGTTTGGAAGGCGGCTGAGCCAGCGTCTTCGATGGCATGCCGGTGTTTGAGTTTCCAAGGAGTGTCTTTGAGTGTCGAGTTTAGTAGGTGGCCATGAGGATTGATAAAAATGCCGAAGCATCTTTTGGCATCTTTGAGGGTGACCGGGTGTCTTTCCGTCTTGACCGTTTAAGGTGATTAAGCATCTTTGAGTGCAGTTTTAAGTCGACCTCGTGTCTATGAGTGTCTGACTTTTTGCGTTGCGTTATCAAGGCCGGTAATCGGCGTTCGGAAGGCGATCACGTGTCTTTGAGTGTGCGCGCACACGCACCTGCGGAACGGGAGGCTTGTCCATCCGCGGTTTTAAGATCTGCAAAGCTTCGTCACGAGGCGTCTGCTTCTTCTTAAATTTACCCTCTGGTCTCCTAATCGATAAATGCAGCAACACGCACCACATGACAAACGCAATAAACGCGTCGATGTCCATGATGAATGACGATAACCAACGAAAGCATGCCGGCACCTTTTCCCGGGTGGAAGCGGCGCCATCGGGGGAGGTGGAGAGTTATAGCGCCTGATCATTTCTGGGGAAAACCGAGAACCAGCAACAATCACAATAACACTATCGAAATCGACGGCGGATTATTTCTCCCTGAGAGATGAAGAAATCAGGAGAACAAGATTCACCTTGAATATCCTGACAAGGCACAATCTGCTCGGAAATTTGAGCCGAGTACTTCACCACCTTGCCAGCAGGGGGGGCAGGAGACGTCACCACCGGGGCTATTCTCACACACACACACACACACACACACACACACACACACACACACATGACACGCACACACACACGCACGCACACGCGCACACACACACACACACACACACACACACACACACACACACACACGCAAAGTGCACACCCAAATAAAAGCCATTCCGAGGGAGAGACGAAAGAGAGTCAAGTGGTCATTCTCACCAAAGCTTTTGCCCGGTTGGTCTTTGTTGATGGGAACTGCAGGACCTCCCCAGTGTTGAGCGCCGTCCTTTTGGTCGTCAGCAGACGCAGCCTGAGCAGCAAGCACTTCATTGACTCATCAGTGCAAAGATCACATGATCATAAATATTCAACATTGTCATATCATTTTTTTTTTTTTTTTTTTTACACATTGCAAAATTGAGTTTTGGATGCTAAAAAACAAAGACGTCAAGCTTCATTATATTATTGAGGGGAATAAAAATCGCATGTATTTATTCGAACTGAACTGGAAATAAATTTGACATTTTTGTGGAAGAGGTGTATTTTTAATAAAAATAACAGAAAGAGTTTTCCAAAAAATATTGAATTGGGTCTGATTTCTTGAAGGTTTCCTTCAGGTTTTGTGCGTCTTTGAATGTCGTCTGAGTTGAGGTTTGGGTTTTGAAGGCAGCTAAGCATCTTTGGGCTTTGCGTGTGAGCGTTGTGTGTTTTTACAGACTCAACAACTTCAAGCGTGTCTTTGATAGCTGCCATTAAGCGTCTGAGTGTCTTTGAGTGTTAGCTTTGAAAAGAGACTGAGCATTATTCGTGTGTTGCCTTTGCAACTTTGAGGGTCTTGGAGATTTTCGAGGACATGCGAAGCTTTGAGTGTCGTCAACTTGACTTTTTAATGTGATTCAGCATCTTTGAATGTCTTGGAGTGGGGACTTTTGATTGGTGACCGAGCATATTTGTGCGCAGACGATTTAGGGCAACTAATCAGCCGAGTGCCTTTGAGTGTGCCATTTTGGAGACGACGAAATATCGGAATGTTGACCTTCTAAGGCGCCAGAGCATCAAAATCTCTTTGAGTGTTACTTTTTCAAGGCGCCGGTGTCTTCGAGTGATGACTTTTACGGTGACACGGCGATGTTGACGAACTTTGAGCGCCGACCTTTGAAGGAGGCCACGCGTCTTCAGCTTTATGTTGCAAAATTGCCTTTGAGTGCAAAATTTGGAAGGCATTTCATGATCAGAGTGGGAACGGTCTTGATGCAGCAACCTGCGCGTTAGCCTGCGGCGGCAAGGCGGTTTGGGCGACGCCCGTCTGAGGGTCCGGCTCGGGCTCCGACGTGGGAGGGTACGAACTGGACAGCGGGCCCATGGCGGCGTAGGGGGACGGCGTGAAGTTGGCGTACGGGCTGGGCGGGATGTCCCGAGCGTAGGGGCTGGGGGGGTGATGGAGCACAGGGGTGCCGGGGGGGCTCATGACGGGCGGGGTCGGGGGGCTTGACGGGGCCTCCGTCACGGGGGCCACGGCGGCAACGGGAAGCGACATCGCACCCCCAAAGGGAAGCACTCGAACAGCTGCTGGACACACAAACATTTGCGTCTCACACACATTTTACAATGTGCGGTGGTGTGCTTTTTTTTTCAATTTTTCAGGTGGTCTGACCGCCAGGTGGGGGCGGGGGGCCGCCCGAAGGGCCCTGGTCTCGCCACCCGACTCCTCCGCGGCCCTTCATCCTGCTGGAGAGCGGTGCGGCCAAGTCCGCTTCCTGTCGGGGCCCACAAACATGGCTGACAGGCGCTTTGCGTTGTCTCCGCCTCCATGAAGAGCGGCCATTCAATCAAATCAATGCAATGTGACCCCCCCCCCCCCGAAAATAAAATAAAATACATCCAATAAAAATGTCAATATGTGATTACAATCAGTTGTGGGGCTGTGTTGTTCTTTGAGGGGAAAAAAAATGAAAAAATAATACACGTGATGTGACGGCGTTGGATACAGTCTAGAAAGAAGACAAATATTGCCCGGCAAAAATAAATAAATAAATAAATAAATTAAAAAACGCAAAGGGAAGTAGGTTGGTCGGCCAGTCAGTCAGTCGGTTGGTTGGCAGGTCCAGTGGCTCAGCAGGAGGCGAAGACCTGGGCTTTATTTGAAAGTCAATGAGGTTCTCGCGGCGGTGTGAAAGAACGAGAACGGCGCTTCGCTGAAATGGAACATGAATTGAGCAGCGGTCGTCATTTCAAATCAATTGCGGGGGCGGCCGGGAAGCAGGCGGCCGCACGAGCCGATCGCCGAGCGCCGGCCAAATCCTCGGGACTGTCTGGCGCCGCTTTCCGAGCGCGCCGCCGTGAATCAAACTTGAGGGAAAGCAGCGGGGGCGATCAATAGTAAAGGAGACTAAAACGCGAGCGCCGTATGGAAGACGTTGTCCGTCCTCTGTGTGGCCCCTCCCGCTGTGGTTTTTGGTGACCTTTCCCTTCATTGGATGTGAGCTGGGCGTCTCCCCAATCATGGCAGCTGTCTCACCGACACACCAGCCTGTCTGCACCTCGTCGGCCACACTCTGCCCTGCCGCATCGAGGCCGGTCTGAAGAGCTGTTGCCGGTTCGTTAGCCATCGTGCCTGCCGTCCTCTCCGCTGCCTCTTGTTGTCAGCTAAGCTCTCGCTAGCTTGGACTAAACTGAAGCCGCTAGCTTGTATGGCACCGGAAATACGTCCAGAGCCGCCGTCCGCGGTATCCCGCTAACCAACCGAAGTCGTCTTGTATGAAATCTTGCAAAAGTGACAAAGTAACCAAGCGGCGCATCGTTGTCGGTCTTCAATCAACGGCTTACGAATGCATGAATGCTTATGTCAGAGATTTTCTCGGACAAGGTTAAAGAAACGACTCGGCACACAGGAAAATTGTCTTCAATATCGACGGAAGCGGATCTCTGAGAGCGAACGACGGTTTAGTTGCTCCGTGATCACGCTCAGAGCCCCCCCTCCTCGAGTTCGGACATTTATTTGTGACATATGCAAATACAAGAAAATCATTGCCCCCGATATTTGCATACCGTACCCCTGGTCCGGCCCCTCGGTAGTGATTGGTTACCTGGGTATGAGCTTTGAACCACCGGCACGTTGGCGCCTTTTGGTCTGGTCTACACTGTATCAACATATCGCGGACTTTGCGGATGACAAACGTCGCCTGGGCGCGACGGGTGTTCTCAAAACGTCTTTTGTTGTTCAACCGCTGTTCCCAAATTACTCGTTCCCCCTTTGTGACCGGATCTGGCTCTCTCTCCTCTGATCGCCCACCCGCCTTGATGTGTTAATTGTGGTGTGGGCTGCAACAGCCCTCCGCCCAAATGGCCGGCACCTTCTGAACAGGAATTTGGGGGTGCGAATTACGCACCCAGACGCTTCAACGTGCACAGATCAAATGAAACTTTAAACATGATACAATTTCGCCCATAGATTCCTCTAACAGCTTATGCATTCGTAAGCGGTGAGGCAGCGCGCGTCGGCGCGCGCGCAGCCTTCGTCAGGAGAGTGTCAGTTGCCGCCCGGTAAGCGGATCCGCTGCGGCCGTTGCCCGGACCGGCCCGGTGAAATCACCGTGGCCATCTGGTGCCTGCGCCAGCTACGCTAACTGGGTAACGCGATCGGCTCTGTCCGACACATCTGATACACGCTAATTCCTGTCGCCTACATCCGATAGCGAGCGCAGGACGGAGGTTGAGGTTGGAGGGCATCTTGGGGTGCCCCGTTTTGAGCGCGCAGATTTCAAAGCGACTCGACAGGTCTTTGAGTGTGAGTTTCAAAAGTGGCTCCGCGCATTCACCGGGAAAAGCCACTTTGGCTGGGTTCTCTCTAACGAGGCTGCGTGTGGAACTTACCGCGCTCCCGTCGGACAGCACCGGGTCAAACAGGCTATCCAAAAAGCGATCCATCCCTCGATGAGGCTCCGAGTCTAAGGAGAAGGAGACCGTTTAACATTCATTTGAGCGTGCGGGCGTATGCGCGCGCGCACGCTTACCCTGGCTCGCAAAGCCCTCGCGGGAGAGGAATTCGTCGTTGCCGTCAAAGCCGACACCCAGCAGACTTCTACGAAAGCAAGTGAGAAAACGCCGTGAAGACTTTTTCCCGGTTAATTAAAAAAACAAAAACAAAAAACATATCTTCAGAAATCTTCGTCAATGTGCCATACAACCAAGAAACTAGTTTGGTCGTGGTTGTGCTAACAGCTAATTGATCAAGTGGCCCAACAACCGCCTATCTACATGTCTATGCAATGCTTCTAACTAAATGATCATCGAAATAACGACCAAGCGACAGACTCACCAAGCAAGTCGCTGACCATCTTATCTCCCGTCGACCTAACTAACTACCAGTCAACAGAGCGAGTGACAAACAAACGAATCAACCAGCTGGCAAACCAATCCGTCAATCCTTTTTTGTAATTGTGCTAATGAATTATCCGCCCAACCAGAAGGGGTGGGAGGTTAACGAACCAACTGAATAACTAACCAACCTGCCAACTCACGTGGTAACTGACTAACTAACAACACGCGAGCCAACTAACTCGCTAACTCATTTGCATGCAAACATGAGAGTGAACAGCTAGCTCACGGGGTAATTGACCAAGTAAGTGACCAAAAACCAGAGGACGAATTAACTAACAAACTAAGTGAACCAACTGAACCCCGCTGACTAACCAAGCAACCAATCCAACCAACGAGGGACCAAATGCATTTGTTTGCGTGCGTGAGCGTCCCTCACATGCCGGCATTGGCCCGTAGGCGTCCCGGTTCCTGCGCCGAAATGACGAAGTAGCCGGCGCGCTTGGGGAATTGGGCGGGCAACTCCAGGTCCGACA